TTCTTGCATCTATTCATATGCCAATACAGGGAGGTGTCAGCCATGCTGTTCATCTAATATCAACAATAGTTATTTCTAGATTGGCAATGGGGAAACATGCCTGTCATCCCAGCATTCAGGAGATTGAAGCAGGCATATCGAAATTCAGGGCTAGCATGGGCTACAGATTGAGTTCAAGGCCAGCCTGGATTACTTAGTAAAACCTTGTCTCAAAAAACAGACAATAATAACAAAACAATAGTTATTTCTTTCTTTCTTTTTCTTTCTTTTTTTTTTTAGTACCGGGGATGGAACTCAGGACCTTCCGCTTGTGAGGCAGGTGGTGGCACCACTGAGCTAAATCCCCAGCCCCTACAATAATTGTTTCTAAGTAGAGGGATTGTGGGCAATCTGTGGCTACTCTACACTTTCTTTTTTTTTTTTCCAATACAAGGATGCAACCCATGGCCTGCACTGAGCTACTGCCTAGGCAGGACTTGAATTTGTAATCTTCCTGCCTCAGCCTCCAGAAGTGCTAGGATTACAAGTGCATGCCACTGCACCCAGCTCTATAATTTTTAAAAAATATATTAAATATATGGAGTCACCTTGTGTCGATTTCTCCGTGTCTTTGGGCTGGGCAGTGTGACTGGCTCCAGCCAATGGACCAACAGCACCAACCTCCAACCATGATGAGGCTAATCTTACTCTGTCCCAGCCCCAGCTGCCCAAAAAAGGTGTGCAAGAGGACTCGGAACACATAGCAGATGAGTCACCCAGCTGAGCCCCAACAAATTCGTTTAAAACCATTTTGTTTTAAGCTGGGCATGGTGCCACATGCCTGTAATCCTAGCACTTGGGAGGCTGAGGCAGGAGAGTCGCTGCAAGTTCAGTTCAGGCCAGCCTGGGCTACATAGTGACTTCAAGGCCAGCCTGAACTTCATATCGAGACCCTGTCTCAAAAGACCAGAACAAAAAACCACTGCTTTGGGGTGGTTAATTTGCAGCAATGGGTAATGAATACATCAACCTTTTTAAAATACATCATTTGGGAGGGCCAGGGATTTAGCTCAGTGGTTTCGCCACCTGCTGCGCAAGCGCAAGGTCTTGAGTTCGATCCCCGATACCAAAAAAAAAAATCACTTAGGATATACACAGTGGCACACACTATAAAAGCAGCTACTGAGAAAGCTGAGGCAGGAGAACTGAAAGTTCAAGGTCACCCTGAGCAATTTAATGAAACCTTGTCTCAAAAGAAATAGAAGGTGAGGAGGCGGGGATGTAGCTCAGTGGGAGAGCACTTGTCTAGCATGTGTGGGGCCCCAGGTTTGGTCCCCAGTACTGCAAAAAAAGGGGGGGCTTCCTTCTTGCCAGTGTATCTAATTTCTGAGTCTGTTTCCTCCTCTGGAAAATGAGATCCTTTGACCTGTTGGAGGACTAAGTGGGACTCCAGCTGGGACGAGAGACCACTGTGGGCTGGCTGGCCTCCATGGCTAGTCAAAGCTAACCTGGAGTCTGAAGACACCAAATGCAATTTCAAGGGTCCCAACACCCCTCAGGATTGAAGATGTGCTCTAAGGGCCTACAGAATCCCCATGGTACAGCCAGTGCAGAGGAAGGGGGCAGAGCGAAGTTGGCTGGGGCAGGGATAGTGGGGAAGTCTGGCAGGAATCCACAGCTGCACTTCTGTTGACCTTGGGATAGGTCACCCTGCCGGCATCAACACGTGACAATAAGGTACAGCCAACAGGGGATGTTCCCCCAAGTGTCAGTGTCCTGGGTTTTTTTTGGGGGGGGTCTGTCCTATAGGATGACTGATCCATGGACGATCCATGGTTGACTGATGCACATGACCCAAAGCCCCCACCCCACATACCATACTCGTCTTTTGGACATGGCCAGCACCCCCAGACAGACACTCCGATCAGGTCCAACATGGATAAGCTCCCTGAGGTGAGGGCACAGGAAAGACCTCCCTTTGGGCCATGCCAACCTCTCTGCTATACAAGGTGCCTGCTAAAATGGGTAATACTGTCCCACCTCGCTCACCTTGGACCCTAGGAAGCTGCCTGGCCTGCAGCCTTCAGTTTCCCTTTCTATAAAGCGGGTCAGGAGTGTCTGTCTCCTTCCTGGGGCTACAGCACTATTCCACGGATGGAAGCCAAGGCTTGTGCTCATTCGAGCCACGTTCCTTCAAGTTCCCTTTAGGTGACACAGCTCCCAAAGGGGCTGCAGGGTGGGGCAAAGCCTGATGTATATCCCAGCACAACACTCACCCTCACGAGGGGGCAGCAGGCTGAGTGGCAGCTGGGGCAGGGGTGTGGTGACTCTCACACCCATAGGGCACTGCTATCACTCCTTCTGGTGGAGGCCCAGGGTCTTTGCTGGCCATCGCTGTTCATACCAACCCTCAGCAGCCTCCCTTGGGCTGCTGCCTTGGATTGGCGCTGGGCTCAGGGGAAGTTCTGAATGTGACACTCAGAGGGAGCCCCGAGGCTGGGGACAGTGTTCTTGGCTCAGAGGCCCTGAAGATTTCCTGGTTTCCACTGGCTTTCTGGAGAGATGAGGCTGTTGGCCAGGTGACTCCAGGGGAACAAGAGATGCTCACGTCATCTCTGGCCGTTGCTGTGTTTGGCTGACTTTGAGGCCTCTCGGGGACCCTGCTGGCAGGCATCTCTCCCAGCCTGCATAGCCACAGAGCTGAATTCCTCATGGCCAGATCGGAAGCCATGCTCCTATGGCTTTTCTGTGGCTCGGTAGCAGCAGCCCGGTGTCGGTGAAGAGCTGGGCACTGGGCTGTGTGGCCCAAGTGTCATCCAGACCCATCTCAACTGGTGCCAGGGGAGCTGGCCCTCCAGCTCTCTCCTCTCCCTGCCAATTCTTGTGAGCACTGTTTCCACAAAAAATGTGAACCTCGCTGGATGGGGTCCAAGCACGAGGAGTTCCATTGTTCTGCCTTCAGCCCCAGCATCTGGGGGCCTGGCCCAGTCTGGGCACGTGCAGCTGCCTTGGCCTTTCTCCCAGTGGCTATGGGTCTTGGGACAGCTATTCAGCAGCCACTTCCTGGCTGGGGGGACAACCCCTGGGAACTCCTTACCTGGACTGCCCCTCCCTCTGCTCCAGATGCTTCTGCCAAATGTTTCCAACAGCTCAGGCCTTGCAGATTTTCTCATCCCTGTGTTCCCCTCACTAGCCCTTACTTCACTCAGAGGAAGGAAGGAGGGAGGGAGGAGGAAGACAGGAAGGAGGGAGAGGAAAAAGGAGAGGCTGCAGAATGAGCCCTGATTCCTTGATTGGGTGATGATTCCCAGGGCCTCCCAAACAGTGTATTAGTGTATTAGTCAAATTCCTATCACTAGAACAAAATACTCAATACTCACAATTTAACAGAAGAGAGGTCTATTTGGTTTACGGTTTCAGTGGGTTCAGTCCATGGTTGGCTGGCTCCAAGGCAGAAGGGACATGGTGGAAGGGAATGGAGGAAGAGAGGTGCTCACCATGGAGCCCTTGAAGCAGAGAGAAAAGAGAAGAGCCAGAAACAAGAATACAGTTTTCCAGATCATGACCCAGTGAACCACCTCCAACCAAGCCCTACCTCCTATTAGCACAATCAGCTCTGAATTCATCAAAGGATGAATGTGCTGATGGGCACAGCACCTCCATGATCCAACCACCTTCCCAAAGCTCCACCTCTGAACACGAGAGTTTTGAGGAACATTCTAGCTCGAAACCGTAACACTGGACCTCATCTGAAGAATGGGCTAGTCTAGACCCTAGCCACAGCTGTGCCAGGACAGTGGGGCAGAACAACTCCTCCTCTGGGCAGTGAATGCTGGCCAGAGCGGGGCAAGGTGGGGTGCCTGCCTTCCTGCCCTCTTCCCCAGGGGCACGCTCTCCTTTAACCCTTGCTGTACTGGAGCTGTGTGTGTGTGAGAGCACATATGTGCTGTGGATTGAACCCAGGACCTTCCTATTGAGCTACATCCCCAGCCCTTCTTATCTCTTTTGAGGCAGGGTTTTGGTGAGTCAGTAAATTGCCCAGGCTAGGCTCAAACCTGCCATTTCCTGCTTCAGCCTCCTAGAGTGCAGGGTTTAAAGATGTGTGGCACCACACCTGAGTCTTGTCTCCACTCGAGGACTACCCTATAGGAAGCACGGTCCTGTCACTGTAGGCCTTCCCTAGCAGGTGCTTGGATTACCAGGCACCGCCTTTGTTTCAGGTCTTTGCTTCATGGCCTTACACACATGCTTCTGTAGCTTAGGTACGAAGTCTTACTTTCCGCACTCTACACTCACTGTATCCTTACTATTCCTTCTCACGCATGAGGATACTGATGCACAGAGAGGTTAAGTAACTTGTCCAAGATCACACAGCCACGGATGACCGAGCCAGCCTCTGAATCTAGATCATGTCCATCCTACATACAGTCTCGAGGGGCGCTGTGGACGTGGACTGGGCTGACAGCTGTTGGAAGGCCGGCCCGCTGCCCACAGGCTAGACCCCCCGCAGTAAATGTGCAATGGTCCAACCAACCAGTGAACACGTAGGATGTAGCGCAGCCGAGCGCGCAGCCAGGGTTCGGCCTCCGGGCCAATAGGGAAACCCCACACGGATGTAGGAGTGGAGGGTCTCAGGCCTTCCGGGCTGCCATACCCTTCTCCAGGAGGGGAAGGGAGTGGGCGGGGCTGCTACTGGGGAGCCAATAAAGAGTCGGGGGCAAGATCTGCATCTGGAGGGCGTGGCCACTCGTATAGAGGGAGGGTGGGGCGGGGTTATAGGGACAAAGGACCAATGGAAATGCAGGAAAGGGTGAGAGGTCACGCTGAAGGGCGGAACCGATGAGAAACCAGCCAATGGTAACTAGAAAGCACGGTGGAAGGGCGGGGGAGAGGGTGGGGCGAGCCCTGCTGGTGGCAGGCCAATGGAGGTTCGGGGGCGGGGCTGTGGACGGGCGGGGGCGCGGAGGGGGCGGTGGCGGCCGCGGCGAACAAAGAGGCGGCAGGAGCGAGTGGCCGACCGGAGCCGAGCGCAGCCGAGCCGGGCCGAGCCGGGCCGAGCCGGGCCGGGCCGGGCCCAGGAGCGCGCAGAGGCGATGCGGGCGTCCAGGCAGGGGTCGGCGGGTCCCTGAGCCCCGCTCCCGGGCTGTGAGGGAGTCCGTGTGGCGGAGGCACCGGCCACCATGGCCGGGGTCAGCTACGCGGCGCCCTGGTGGGTGAACCTCTTGCATCGGCTGCCCCACTTTGACCTGCATTGGGAGGCCACCAGCAGCCGGTTCCGGCCCGAGGACGCCGACTACCAGCAGGTGACGCGCGCCCCTGGCTTCTGGATCAGGCTCCGGGTCACAGCCCCCTCCCCTGGGGCCTCGAGACCCCCAACCCTTTCCTTCTGGAGGGTCCCCTCTGGGCCCCGGGCCCCCTCCTTGAGGGTCCTGCAGATTCTGGCTTCCCCTCCTGTGTTACCAGGGTCTCTGCTGGGTCAGTAGAGTCGCCTTCCTCACCCTCATGTCCCCCATTTCCATCCTGGGCGGGGGCGGCCTGACGCTACTCTCCAGCAGAGCCCCCTACCCAGGGCCCCCAGAACAGAGCCCTGGCCAGGCGGGAGGGGATTCCTCGCTCCCTCCTGCCCCAGCTGGGGAATCCTGCCACAGGCTATTGGCTGGTGAGTACCTTGGGCAGAGGCCAGCCCTCTGTGGCTGGTAATGACCCCCTGCTCTGTGGTCAGGCTGTGGAGTGTACATGCTGTCGTCGGTGGCTGTGGGACACCAGCCTGGTGAACCCTGCGGGAGGGAGGCCCTGCAATGTGGGCCTCAATCTGGAGGCTGGGAGAGGCTGAGCCGGGGCAGACGTAGAGGCGGTGGGGGGCCCTTGGCTGCCCTTTCTTTCCCTGTGGAGCCCTAGGCCTGGCATCAGGCCAAGTCTGGGCCCCACCCCCACCCCTGGCTGTCGTTTGAGTGTAGGGCAGGGGACCGGGCTGGGGGCATTTCCTTCCTCTGTGGAGATCAGGATTCCGGACCTGGGTGACTGGTCACCCTGAGAGCACCCTGGCGTTTGTCTCTGGGGATCACAGTGGACCCTGGGTGTCGTGGGAATCCAGTGTTTGGGGGCGAGTAGAATCTCCCTACTCAGCTGTGTTCTCCCGGCCTCCCTTACCCAAACGACAACTGACAACCGGAAGCAGAGGTTGAGGGCACCACGGGAAGTTTGCTGCCCTGTTCCCGTGCTTACCTGACCCCAAATCTGCCCGCTGATGGTGTTTCTAAGCAGACTAGAGAGGGGGTGAGGGATTGGCTCAGGGGTACCCAGAGATGGCCTGTAAAGGTTTGGTGTGAACCCGTGGCCTGGGAGCTATTGGGAGGAAGGACACGCACTTCATGCTCCCCGGGACCGTGGCGGTGGGATGGCTTTGTCACTCTCCTCCCCAGGCGACTGCTGCTTCAGCAGCATGTGCTTTGCTTGGAAAGTTCTCTGCCCCAAGGGTTGGGCGCATTTGTCAGTTCTGAAAGGCTGGAGGCCCCTGGGGCATCCTGGTGGCTGTTTTCTGCCCCGCGGCGTGCTGGTGGCTGTTTCCTGCAGCCATGGGTGCTGCATGCCCGGGCTGCAACCACTGTTGAATTTGCTCCCACCCCTGGATTCCTGCACTTGTGGCAAGGAGGGAGTGAGGGGCAATGATGCCTGCAGCTCACAGGGGCCCTGGTTTCTGCCCCCTTCTCTGCCCTACTCCCTGCTCTGCTGTGGGAGGGCTCTGACTCACTTCTCTCTGAGGAGCAGAATTAGCCACTGAATAATTCACGGTGTGGAAACCAGTCTGTCTCCATCCCCCGCCGCCTCCACTCTGTTCGGGGCTGTGGACATGCGTCCTGCCCTCTGTGTGCTGGTGCTTTTAGGCAGGCTCTTGATCTTTCTGAGCTTTGCTGCCTCTTGAAATGAGGGCTGCTGTGCCTTCTTTGCAGGGGTGCGGCAGGCGTGGGCAGGAGGAGCTCCCTTCCGGGTGGGTGAGCAGTGGTTGGTTGTAGGCCCCATCCTGCCTCTCTCGAGAGGTGTTGCTAGCTGTGGGTGGGGGTGGCTGCTGTGTCCCATTCAGGATAGTGACACTTACCCATTCTGACCTTAAATGTCTGTGCCCTGCTGGGGAGGAGGGCTTCCAGAGAGAAGGTGTGGCCAGAGGCTAGGGGTTATGGCAAGGGCAGACCAGCCTCAATCCTTTGCTATTCCCTGCTCTCACAGGCCACTGGCAGGGGCCCTGGCGAAGACCCCAAGCAGACCCCCAAGTCCACTTCGAAGCCTGGGTGAGACTGCCACTCCCAGCTCTCTTTCGGACAGCTCGGTTGTCTCTCCTTTGCAGATTCAAAAGTTGAGGCCCAGAGAGAGGGCCTGGCCCAGCCTGACCCAGGAAGCAAGGGGGAGGCCAATGTCCCTGCCCCATTGGCAGCCAGTCAGCCTGGGGTCCCACTGCAGGGGGGTGGGGTGGGGGACTGTGGAATTAGGAACTGATGGGGCTATTATGAGGGTGGTGGGGACCTGTTGGAACCTGGGCCTTTGCCAGGGGAAGGGGGTTGGGGTTGGCTTCCACCAACATTAAGATCTCTTGGAACAAAGGATCTTGGGATACCATATTTGCAAGGCCTTCGTCCCAGGAGAGTAACCCCTCTGGGTTCCTCTGAGAGCCTGTGATGTTGCTGAGTAGATTTTATGGGTGTGATGGCATCTATGGGCAGGGGCTAGAAGGGGCTTCTGGGGTCTGCTCTATGTGGCTCCCCAACTTGGGCTGCCCCCAGGGGCTGCTGCCTGGGTTCCCCTGGAATTGGGCCATTCCCAGCTGCTCATACTGCCTCAGTGGCTGCTGGGGCCTGCTCAGGTCTCTTGAGGTGGGTTGTGGCTCTTGGTGCACAGGGAGGCCCTGAAGACCTAAAGGGATGGAACCTGATATAGCCGGGTGGCCTGTCCTCTAGGTGAAAGTCTTGATTGTCCAGGCAGGGGCCTGTCCTATCTGTCTGCAGTCCTCAGGTATGAGTAGCTGGACCTTTGCTTGGGGTGGAATACGGGTGCTGGGGTAGGGCATGTTGGGCCTGCATCTCAGCTCTGTCATTCCTACCGTGTGACCTTGGGTGGTCCACCCAGCTCTCTGGGCCTCCGTGTGGGACTAGGGTCTGCTTCCTCATCTCTTGCCAGCCTTTGTGACCCAGCATGACCTCATGTCCTTAGGCAGGGATCAAGTTTGTGTTGACTGCTGCCCATCTTTCTCCCTCTGGCTCTCTGTCTCCACCACTTCAGGGCAGGCTGGAAGCTGAAAGGACTGTTAAGGCCAGCGGTGGTACATAGGGGGTGTTAGCTGCCTGGGCGCCCAGAGGTCCAGGGCTTGCTGCCTCCTCCCTGACTCCGTGTCCATCCCCTGGCCTGCAGTGGCTCAGTGGCATACTGGCCTTCCAGATAGACCTTAGCACTTGCTTCAGGCTCACCCAGAGGGTGGCCATTTCCTGTTAGAGCCCTGAGTGTTCAGATGTTTCAGTCAAGACCCTAACAAAAAGATGGAGGTAGTGTGGCCAGAGCTAAGGAAGAAGGTTGCAGGCCACAGAAATAGAACATGCCAAGCCCCTAAGGCAGGGAAGCCTGAGCCTCAGGCCAGACCAAGGAGAAGCCCTCTGGTCTGCATGGTCAGGGGGACAGGGTGTCCCAGGGAGTGCTGGGTGTCGCACTGTGCTGGAGGTGTGTGAGCTCACACTGTGTGGTTTGAACAGCCCTCAGGGCCAGTGGTCTCCTTACAGAGCTTAGAGCCAGCTCATAAGAGCATAGCCCTGGGTTTACAAGGTCAGCTGCTTGCCTGGCTGCAGACCTGTGGCAAAGCGGCCTTATCCTCTGGGCAGGGCTGGACTCATTGTCATTTCCCCACAACTCAGGAAATGAGCTCTGGTTAGAAAGGCGGTGTTATCGCCTGTCTTTCGGTTTAGAGGCAATGCAGGTTCGAAGGACATGCTGGGAAAAGAAGCTCATGATGACACCCCCCCAGCTGGATTGTGTCCTGGCGAATGTCTGTATGGAGCGGAAGCCACTTTACACCAGAGTGGAGCTGTATACCTTCTTGTACATGAGGTACACCATGTATCTTTTTTTTTTTTTTTTTTGGTACCAGAGATCGAACTCTGGACCTTGTGCTTGCTAGGCAGGCGCCAGAACCACTGAGCTAAATCCCTGGCCCCATCAGGTATCTTTGATGTGTCCGTGGCCTTGCTTCTGGGTGCTTTCTCAGTGCCCCACAGTGCTGAGAAGGATTCTGTGGTTGCAAGTGATGGAAGTGTGCTAGACACAGTGCCCTGGGGGCTGGGTGGAAGCCTCTAGAGCCAGCCCTGTGAGGGTGCGAGATGATGGGCCGGGCTTAGGGGTGCAGAGTGCAGGGGGCCTACTTCTGGGCCAGTTGGCTCAGGGTGTTTGCATCGTGGTCAGTGCTGAGTCCCAGGGAAAGATTCAATGGGCACCACCCGGGTCAGTGTCACCTTGTGGCCAGGGGCCATCCAGTCCACTCCCTCAGGCGTTGGCTACCACCCAATAGGGAAGAAATGCCATGTTCTCCCTTCCTGTAGGAACCAGTGGCTCCTGGTTTTGGAGACTCCAGTGTGCATGGCCAATGCTGTGCTTGGGAGTTTGTGGGAATCTGACCGATTCCCATCCGAGTGGGGCCCTGGACCCCTCAGGAAGCTGTGGAGATGGATCTTCAAGAAGGCTTTTGCTGAGTGTGTAGGGTCATTCTTCCCCAGGGTGCTGGCTCCTTGAGGGCCACTCCAGTCTGTATGCAGGGGCCCATATCCACCTCTGGGCTCCCATGGGCTTCCCGGGCCAGCCTCCACAAGTCCAGGACACAAGACCCTCTGGCTGTAGCTACTGCTCACGTTCTGGGGGAGCAGGTGTTCTGTGGCTTTGACCCTCAGTGCACAGCTGCCCTGCCCAAGGGACTCATGCTGTGTGTTTCTATAGCACTTTTTGGGAGTAGCCACGGTGGCCCTGGGAGCTGGACACCATTTTCCCTGCATGGGCAGAGGTGGGGCCCCTGGGCTGGAGACAGGCCAGTGCTCCTGTTTCAGCCCAACTCCTTCCCTCCCTGTGGACACAGCTTTAGGGGTCGGGGCCGTACTCCTCCCCCAGAGGCAGTTCTTGGAGAAGAAGAACTGATGCTGCAGCCTGGGGTTAGGGGTCAGGGACATGGGAAGTGCCTGGGGTTGGGGCATGTGCCAGCGGGTGGTGAGGGCTGCAGCAGGACTGTGAAGGGTGGGGCTGCCTTTCCTGGGATCTCTGGGGAGCTGTCCTACCCCTA